ATACCTCATATCCACGAAATCTGTTTATAATAAACAGTTTATAGCAATAAAAGCCAATCTTTTTAACACCAATTCTTTCCATTATATTTAATATCTAAATGTTATAATTAATAAATTAATTAATTGATAAATATATCTAGATACTAAAAATACCTTGAGCCTCATCATGATTTATAATTGTTTTGTATGAGAAACGTATGAATTAAATAAAATATACGAATATTTAACCGAATTATATAATTGCGATGATATGTGGATAATAAATAATAATTGACTTAAATATACAACTAGAGCTAACAAACCTATTAATTTAATTAAGTAATACGAATTAGAAATTAATATTATTTGCATTAAATAGCAATTTACAAATGATATAATCGTCCAAACAGCCAGCAATATTTGGACCAATAATTATAGTTATATTCATTGATTTCGACATAAATCGCATTTAATTCGTGTGTAGTTTTTGTAATAAATACATGGTTTTGATAATAATTAGACTTTTCAATATGCATAAACCGCTGCTTGATCAACATATTAATAACACTTATTTTAGATAATAGGTGATTATATAATAATAGGCACTTTGGTAAATGGTCATGTTTATCACGCACTTTCCCCAGTATGCGAACATTATCGAGTTAAGCATACCTAGTAAAATAATGTAGGTCAAATTATTTGTTACAAAATATGCATTAGCCATATAAAAAAGCCATTATTGCGACTAATATAGTCATAATTTGAGACAATTTAAGCAATGTTTTAGTAATAAAACAAAGCTGGTTAACCAAAGTACGGTCATTGATCTTGATACTTTTGGGCGAAATTAAACCGCATATCATTTGAAATACTCTCAAATCTGTCGGTTTAATACCATTTCTATAATTAATATAATTTATAATTTGAAGATAAATACAAAATAGATTTCCAAATAAACCCATTATATTTGCTACGTTGCCACCGGGTAAATAATGATCATAATTTCCAAAATATAAATGCCATATTAAGGGTACAGTTATATTATTACTAGCCAGGTAGACATAAATGAGTTGTTTAATAGTTGTTAATAATAACTCAATGAATACAATGAATGGATAGAAAAGTAAATGCCGTTTAGTATTGGTTTGCGGTTTAAATAGTGATAAACCAATTGAATACATATGACTGTCGGCACCCCTTACCCGCAACTCCCGGGGTATGGGTTTATATAAATTATATTTAATTTTCATTATAAATATAATTTATTTTACCAAATTTGAAATTGACTTCTACAACTTGATTAAATGTACTGTAACTTATCTATTTAACATAGCTTACTTATGAATACTAGTAAATATAGATACTGAGGGTCTACACTTTGTTTTTAATCAATTTATTAATTAAAACTACAAACGAATTGAATTTTTATGAATGAGTTTAGTGTTCTCAATGTGTTGTCCATTATATGTAGATATCATTCGCAGTCGCCTTTTCCAACTATTGAACACTTTCGTGACCAAATTCTGATCAATTCCCGACCACTCCTGTCTACAGGCTTTCCAAAGTCCATTCAATGATTTGACTCGACGTTTAAAAAGTTTTTGTTTTAGAAACCCGAATCCAAAGAAATCCAATGGACTGCCATCAGGGCTCTTGACTGGAATGTCACTGTTTTTGATGTAATCAATACCAGTCCTTCGTTTCAGGTCTTCGAGATATACTTGAGTTTTACCGGCGTTATGGGATGAACCCTTGTCGTGGTGCAGGCATACTTTGTTCAACTCGTTTGGGTATAGTTTCGGCAATTCTTCCTCTAAAATAGGTTTCAAAACATATTTGATATAATAATCGGCATTTATTTTGGCTTTTGGTGGCACTCGAATGAGTGGTAACACTCCTCTGCCAGTTATTGCGCCGACAATCATAAAGCCTTTCCCAAAACTTTCACTCTTTTCATGCACCCATTCATCGGGTATGTCTTTACCAGTTTCGACATAACAGACCCTTCGATGGCCATTGCAATAATCGAGATAAACATTTGCCTCATCTAATGTCACCATAAATTCACTTTTTTGTCCAGAAAGGTACCGTTCATATAGTTTTCTGACATTTGTTTTGCGATTCTTTTTATGTTTAGCATTCAATCGGTGGACACGGCGTTTGATTCGCGTTTTGAGACCCAAGTCTTCGTGTATTATTTTCTGAAGTGTTTTAACGCCCATTGGATGTCTATTTCTAATAAAACTATACGATTTCGGGTCTTCCCTGTCCACCAGTTTCTTGATTTTATCGGTGGTCTGTTTGGTGCGCACGAGTGGTGGCCTCGAAAACTTCTGTATTTCGCGGTTTTGGCCAATGCCTGACGTCTTATTCCACATATTGTCTTAATATTATAAAGTGATTTACGTGTTATGGTAATCCCCTTTTCATTACAGATCTTAATTATCTGTTTTCACTGAATTTCTCTTCGGAAAGAGTTTTGACCAATAGGTCCACTTCAGGTCCAAATATCTTAGGCATAACTTGTGATAATTGTGTTTTTGTTTGTGTCACTCAATAGTGTGACAATCACTGAACACATTGATATAACATTTTTTGTGGTTTTTAGTACAGTTTAATAAATATTTTAATAAAATAAATGAGTATATACAAAGTGTAGACCCTCAGTAATAACTACTAACTATATTTTATGATAGTACAGTAACATTTATTTAACATATGTATATAACTGTAATTCATCATTATATATTTTCAGTTAAGAAAATAAAATAATTATACATTGTTTTTTTGATATTACAATTACTTTGCTACATTACCTTCTGAAATAATGTCATTATTAATGTTTTTTAAAAAGTTAATGTGTTTCTAGAAATAAATTACTGTTTAACACATAATATAAAAATAATCTATATCGATATTTAAAGAATTTGTCATTTAATTAATTTGTTATTGAAACTATGCACTGTAATACATCGAAAAACACTTTACAAGTTTTAAATTAAGTTTAAGTTTTACACAATTAACAATTAAGTTTTAAAAAAATTTATAAATTGATTACTTTCGTGTTGAAACATGTTATAGCGCTATAACTTAACTTGTTATTTATAAAGTTTGAATCGAAAATAAATAGTTTCATGTTTGTTTTAAGACTCATTATTTATTGAGTTATAATTTGGGAATATTTAGTTTGGTTTGCTTTATGCCAATTTGAATATTAGTTATTTAAGTATAACCATAACTACTAACTATATTTCATAATATTTACAGTTATTTTACAAGTGCTTATTCAACATTATATATTTTACACAAACAAATAAATTATACTGTATAACAGACTCCTCAAAGTTTGACTCTCGGAGTCAAATTGTTACACGTTTTTAATATCCTTCATATGTTTGGCTCACAAATATAATAACACATTAGTGTGGGTGAGAGTTATAAAATATTAACTCAAAATTATAAACTGTAATTTTGAAATAAAGTATTAATTATACTATTTTTATGTTTAAAATATTAGTTTACTCATAGAAATATATCTCTCATTAGATTCAATAAGTTGAGTGGTGATTATTTTTATACTCTGATTCTATGCAAAAAATCAATATAGAAATTTCAAAATATTCACATTTACAGGTGACTGTGAATTGAGTGAAAATAGTAATTATATTTGTGTTTGTAAAGATTTTTATCTACTGATAATCTATATGAAATAAATAAATTATGTGTAACATTTTTTTTTGTTTTTTATACATTTTGAGGTCTCTGTTATATAATTATAAATGAGTTTATAAAAAATAAAATTTTAGTTCATTATCATTTATAAACAGTAGATGGAGTATAAAATTATATTGCTTTATAACCATTTAACCATTTAACTACTAAATATGATATTAGTTATTATTATTTTATTATTGTGGTTATGATTTACAGCAAAATGTTTTGTAAACAATATTTATAATCCAACACATAAAATAAATTAATAGCTTATAATTTAATATGTTTAATCATTAGTAATATAATATTATTATTTTTAGGTTATTTCTATTTATATCAAAAATTAAGCTATGCTATTTATATAAAATATATTAATTTATTTATTGTATGTTGCCATAGGATCATATAAATTTAGCTACCAGACTTTGAATAGTGGATAATAAAACATGTTTATATTAAATGCAAGTCACTAACTCAATAGCCAATAATATCGCGAGTAGTATCATATGAAATTTTATGCGCAAGGTCATTTGTCATTTCAAACTTAAAATGTACTCAGAGTTAAGTAAACGTGTGTTTATTTTATTTAATAATGTGACTACTTGTATTTAATACAGTAATGTCATTTAAACTAATATGTTTAATATTTGTTAGATTTTTAGTGTGTATGATAATTATTTCATAAAATAATGACCAAGTTGAGTTCATTTAACACACTATTACTGGTGTTTTTAGCGTTTTTCTCAGTGTTTTTCAATCGTAAATGTGTTTCATTAGTGTTCATACAATTAATTAACGAGGGATTGACACAACAAAATGCAGGTATAGTTACGTTTAAAATTAATTTGTTCAAGGTAAAGAATGATAATACCCAATTTAATATGAGTTTAAAGTTTATAAATATAAATGTGAAAGTTTAAAGTTAAGTGTACAATTTTTAAACATACCCAACTGTAAATGAAATGTATACTATATGATGTTTATTTTATAATTGCTATTTATGTTCAAAATAAGCTTGGTTTATTTAATTAATGTATTAAAATAATACTTTTTAAAATTTCTATTTTAATTCATACTACTGATGTTAATTTATAATTGCAAATGTAAAGATCAAATAAATTAATAAAGTTCATCACATTTTGAATAAGTTAAAAGCACCGGGAGCATATACACCAATAGATAAATGATTAAAACACACAATTAAGTATATAAATAGTTAGCATTTATGTTACAGTCCATTATACATTATTAAAAAATTATTTTTAAAATTATTACTTATACAATAACTATCATAAAAAATTATAATAATTAACATATCATTGCCATTCATCCAGGAACAATCGCCAGTGCACAGGGCATATCACTGGCATTTACCACCTTTGGGGCCGGTATCCTATCGGATCGCATATCATCGCGAAACCTACTGACCTCGGCGTTCATAATATGCACGATATCTACACTACTTGTGTCTATCAGTCCCGTAAGCGCCGGTCTATACGCCATACTATGGTTCGTAAACGGTGTGGGACAGGGTCTGGCCCTACCACCCATACTCAAGCTCACCCGTGAAAACAGTGAGCCTGCTAAGTTTGCCACCAACTGGGGACTGGTACTACTGTCCGTCAACTTAGCCTCCATTACCAACCCATTTGTGGCGGCACTGATAGGCCAGTCCTACGGCTGGCGACAGTACGTGGCGTTCAATGGCGTACAGACCATGACTATCGGCGCCTTATGCCATATACTTCTGGATACCGGTGCCGACACTACCGGTGATAAAGTCACAAAAAAGTCCGACTCACCAAAAGCTACCGGTGCTGTGAAATGGTGGGATGTGCTCAACAGCCCATTCGTTTGGCTGGTAATCATTATTAGTTTCGTTGAGGGGGTCAGCCGTATAGGACTCATGGATTGGATGCCTATGTATTTAGATAAGGAACTACACTTTGACACATACCGGGCCAATGTGTTTGTCAGTCTCATGGGACTGGGAGGTATAGCCGGTAAGCTATTAGCTGGCAAATGGAGTGATGCACTCGTACGCAGGGCACCGGTATCTACCGATAGGTACCGCTTAGTTAAAGCTAGACTCCCGGTGTCAATAGGATTTTTTGTGGTCAACGCCATTGCTCTACATTTGCTGTGTTTTGCTACCAGTGCTCAGTCGACGGGGATTATAGTCTTGATAACAGCCTTATTGATTGGCATCACTATCGCCGGTAATGTCGTGAATATCTCGGTTATGGGCACTGAGTTGGGACCAAAGGACATGGCGGGCACCTACTCTGCTATTATTACCCTGGCTAGTCTAGGTAATTAGATTATTTTGCGTGTGCTTTTTGGTATTAATGTTGTATTTTTTGTGTATTTTGTATCGACAGTCGGCGGTATTTTTACGGGACTCCCATTGACTACAGTAGCGGACTATTACTCATGGAATACGGCATTCATTGTCATTGAATTGTTGTGTGTTTTCGCGTTTATAATCATTAATTTGGCTAAACTTTTGCCACAAAAGGCTAAAAAGGATTAAACAAATAGTTTTAAAAAAAATTTAATTTGAATTTTTATAGAATTTAATAAACTGGTACTTAATATTTTAATAAAAAAATTATAAGCAATTAAAATACATTAGTAAACATTTTGATAAAAAATTACTGACTATTTATCAATTTTACAATTAAAATAACAAACTGTAAACAAATTTTTACCACTGAGATAATACTATGGTGCTTGCTCATGTTTACTGAATGGATCGTGAAAGGATTCAATCTAATTTTTAATTTGTAATAAAAATAATTAAATATAATTAAATAAAATTAATTAAAATTTTTAATATAAACTCGCCCAACTTTATTTAATATACTAAAATCGTTAGAAATATTTTTTGTTTTAAAAATTAATTAACGAATGAATGATTTAATAAACTGTCATACTTATTTAAAATTTCAAACAATTTTGTAATTTATGTGGGTGGTAGACAAGTGGGCGGAGTTTCCTACTTTACCCCATGGGGTAATCCCATCTTTACGACCCATTCGTGAAAATTACACGGAAACTTTCACTTTACCCTACTTACCCCACCTACCTACCCCACCTACCTACCCCACCTACTTATCCCACCTACCCCACTTACCCCACATACCTACAATTTATTTTCAATAAAAGCTCAAGCACATGTAGTTTTAATTATGCATGAAATAAGATAATGTTACATAGTAAAAGTAAATAATTTTTTAAAATTAGATTAAATTATATAAATTTGTATCGGCTTTACGTTTTTTTTATAAAATCACATGTAAAAAACTAATAATCAAATATTTCCTTGACAATCAAATTGCCTTGCCTAATATAGGGTTTCATACAATCAAACTCGTGTTCTCGGAACGAATCGGTGAGCCAGACCAATTTAGTTAACGTGGTCATAAATGTTTGCATTTTCATGTTACCTTCAGATTTGTATTTTATATTCAAATATTTTTGCAACAAATAAATGTTGAGTTGCTGTTGAAATCTGTAATTAAAATTTTAAATTAAAATTATTACCACAAACTGTATCAATGTTTAATTTTAATTTCTAGGTTAGCAAGCAATATGATGAATCGATATACTGGTCTAAAAGCCAAAGGTCCTATTATTTACATATTTTAGCATACAATATTTGAACTAATTCAAAAAATCAAATGTCACTGGTCAAGTTGTTAAATAATTAATATTTTAAGTAAATATCTTATTAGTAATAAATAAGATAAATTAAAAATAATTTACTTTATGTATGATCTATGGTTTAGGTTGGGACGATCCGGATTAAACACCAGTATTGAGATCAGCTTTGAAATGAACAAGTTAATTTTGACAAATTACAATATATTATTTTTAGATATATGCTTACTAATTCTAGTATAAGATTATCCTGGGAGCATGTTGCCAATATTTGTGTTATAATTGCTTTATAATGGCCGACACAATTAACATCGCTTATACACGATGCCAATGGTATGATTACTGTATAATTGTCCTGGTAAATAAAATAATACATAATAATAACTAGTTAAATATTTTTATTGTTACTTTGATTATACAGTATAAACATTACACTTACACCATAATACGTGTAACACTCCGTACTAATGTCATAATGTAATAAACTTCGGATTTCAATGATTTCCAAAAATGCGTATTTCACCAGGGTCATTCTGTCATTCAAACACATATCGTTGAACCCTTTTAAACCTTTTGAATATTTTACAAAGCTTATTATTTCATTATCAATTTTCTTAGTCCAGTGTTGGTAATATTCATGAATGTTCATTATTTTGTATGATAATATATTATTTGTTGCTTGGTGATAATTAGCTGACAAGGTATTTTCTAGGCTAAGCTTGAGTAAACTCTTGATGTGTTCAAGCTCCATTGGGTTAAACATGGTATACTTGATAGAGTACCTAGGCACTGGTATATCATGCCAATTTTTATAATGTTTACAAATAGTAAGCTGATTTTGTTTATTTGCTAGGTTATTTGGTATATTTAATACATTTGCCTCGGTCATTGTTAAGATTGTTCCATGATTATTATTATTCAATTGAGAATCAATGAATTGATAATTATTTTCAGTTAGCAAGGTATTTTCCGGATTCATATTAATATTAATTAAATTATTTACATATGAATCCTTTGATAATAGACTTTTGCCGTTATTTCTAACAAATTCCTATATTTAAAAAAATATATATTTTATTAATTTTTGATAAAATAATTAATATGTAATATAACCTTTTTCATTCCAATTGCAAAGCATTTATCAAGTCTACATTTTTTACAGATTGACCTTGTTTCAATGGTTATTTGACATTGTCTACTTAATGAACATGACAAGGTCTAATGTGGTTAAATAATTAAAAAACAGTATTAAATTTTATAAATAATATATGACAATATTGTACCTCGTGTTTAAATGCATATCTACGGAAAAATGCCCTGCATGAATTACATGTTAGTGCACCAAAATTTCTAACTAGTATAATGATAAAGTGTAAATTATATTTAATATTTTATTTTAATTATGAATTTGTAAACATAAACATGATAAAAATTGTGGTTAGAATAGAATAAAATACATTTATCATAAAATTTATTAAATATACCAAGATACTACTTGGTGATCTGATTATAATTCTTAATAAAAACATTGAATACAATATTTAAAATAAAAATTAAGGACTAAAATATATTTTAAATATAATTAGTTATCAAACAAAATTAAAATATTATATTGAACGAATCATTTACAAATAAAACTTACATGATACTTTATCACCACAAATTCCACAACTCTGTAGTTTATATTTAAGTTTATCCATGGTTAGTAAATATTAAAATTCAAAATTTAATATTCAAACTGTAAAACTATAAGTGTTAAACTGAAAATAAATTAAATAACAGTTTTGCAGCTAGTTTAATACATAATTGAAATACGCAAACTATGTATAAAGGTAATTTATTTTTATAAAACATATTTATTCAGCTAGCACACGATTTATGATATTATAGTTGAAATAAGTGAAGGCCATTGATTAAAACATTTTCCTAGATAATTCACAGGTAGTACTAATTTTATCACTCAATCATGTTTATTATTCAACTTAATAGATAAAATAACATAGATCAATTATTTTGTGTAATAACTAATAATACATTTATTAAAATACATTTTTAGAAATATAATATAAAAATCTGTTACAAAGAATCTAAACTTTAAATAATATTATATTATCATAATATTTATATAAAACAAAATTGCCTTGTTAATTTATAAAATTATTTACTTTAAAAAATTCGGTGAATTTTTTAAATTTACAATTAAATCAGAAATGTTTTTATTATAAAAGTTTGTAACATGTTCAATTTGTAAAATTTAATGATAGTAGATAGTGATACAAAATGTTTTTTATTTATAATCCTACATTATATAAACTTAATTCAAACCATAATACTTTATTACTGTAATAATGTTAGACATTTTGTAAATAATTATATTTTTTAAACTGTAAGTAGTAATTAAAAAAACTTATTTTCTTTATTCTAAATCTTATAATTAATTTTAACTTGGTTAATTATTTACAAAATGTTACTAGTTAAAAATTTGATATTTTATTGTAAAATTTATAATTTAATTTTGAAAATAATTTTCTACCGGTATATAATTATAATGAATTTGCAATTAAATAAACTAAACATGATAAAATTAAACATCAAGTATTTCATTAACTATTAAATTACTTTTTTGAAAGTAAGGTTTCATGTTATCAAAACCACTAGCCCGGTACGAATCGGTGAGCCAGACCAATTGATTGAGCGAGGTCATCAGTGTTTGCATTTTTATGGTAGCCTCAGATTTGAATTTTAAATTGAGATACTTTTGTAACAAATAAATGTTGAGTTGCTTTTGAAACCTGTAATTAAAAATAATAATAAGCACTCATATTATTAACAAACTGTATTAAATGCACTTTTGTGTTATTTATTTAGCAAGCACTATCATGTATATATTTTTGGTTTAACCACATACTAGTGTTAAAATAAAAATAATAAATTACTAGTAATAATTATTTTATTTCAAAATTAAGATTTTATTTCACTGCTCATTTTGTAAGTTGAGCAATATAAAATAAGTTAACATAATGCTAATTAACAATTATTAACTTTTATTTCAAAATAACTTACTTTATATAAGATCTATGGTTGAGATTGGGACGATTCGGATTAAACACCAGTATTGAGATCAGCTTAAAAAGTGCACAAGGTACGTTAGTTATTATATAATTTTGTAAAGTATTTTTGTATAAAACTTAGCATACCAATTCAAGTATGAGATTATCCTGGGAGTATGTAGTCAATATTTGCGTTATAAATGCCTTGTAATGTCCAACACATTTAGCATTGCTTATGCACGATACAAGCGGTATGACCACTTTATAATTATCCTGGATATTCAAACAAGACATACATATTAAATATTTTTTTAAAACATTTATAATTATAGTATAATTAAACAAAATATAAATATACATCATAAAACGTGTAACTTTCCGTGTTCATATTATAATTTAACAAACTCCTTATTTCCAGTATTTCGAAAAATGCATATTTTATCAAGCTAATTTGGTCATTCTCGCATATATCACTAAACCCTTTTAAACACTTGGCGTATTTGACAAAGGCTATTATTTCGTAATCAATTTTCTTGGTCCTATGTAGGTAATAGTCCTCAATGCTCATTATTTTGTACGATGGTAATATATTTGGTGTAGGGTGATATTTTATCGGGAAATTATTCGCCAAGCTCAGTTTGAGTAGATTTTTAATACTCTCAAACTCTAGTTCATTAAACTCGGAATAAACTATAGAATAGCTTGGTAATGGTACAGTGTCGTACCAAGGTTTATCAGGTTCAATAGTAGCAAGTTGATTATTTATTGAGTAATCAGGGATGTTTATTATAGACGATTCAGTTAACGGTATTATTGTAGC